TCAAAGCCCTTGCTCGAGCGCTCGAGGTACTGTTCATGTGGGTGTGTGTTTATGTCTTGGTTCAGCACTGCACTTCCGATTTCAAATTATCATATCTTCTTCGTTTTAACTCCGAATTGGTCCGTTCTTGAGTCTAAATTGATTGCGTCAAAATATACTTTCCAATGGTATCAATTAGAGCTCCAGATTATTCTTGTAGCTCAAGTTATTCAAGTTTTAGTAAGGTAGTGTCTGTTTTTGGTTCGAACCAGAATAGGGTTTCCCTTCCTTCGACTTCAGAACTTGATATCTCTGTCGTCCGGACTCCGAATTAGGTGATTCTTGAGTCTAAATTCATTAATTTTTTGTTGTCTTTTCAATGGTGTGCACAGTGGCACCCATTTCAGTAGGGAATGACCATTTTACCCCTAGGTTCATTCTTGTCCGTTTTTGAAACATCGCTTTCGCAATTGCTTGCCTTGTGTTTCATGACCTCTTTGAGGGTCATATTGGTGTCTTAGATGAGTGTTTTATCTCTAGAGACTGTTGTTCTATCTTTTGCTTCCGCATTTTAGATCCATTTTGGGTCATCACAGGGCACACTGGGTTGAAAAATCCAAGGTTGTCACATGTGTTTGATTTCCATGCTTGTTGCCACAATTTACATTATCCTCTGGATTAATGTGAGTTAAAACTGTTAATTGAATTGATGGACCATGTTTTGAATTGGTGAATTGATTTATACTTAGTTAATTGTCATTAGGTAAATGATTCAAGCTTTAAATTGATGTTTCATACTTTTCATTACAATTGTTAGCCACATTTAGATTATACTTTTTATTTCCCCAATTAGTTGAAAGTTAGTGAGTCAGGGAATGTGCTTAGTAGTGAATCCTACACCCTAAGGCTCTTTCCAATCTTTTAAACTCCATTATTTTATCGCAATTATTTAGCTTAAAATTAGTCTAATCACAAAACCAAACCTTTTTAGCAATCACATAAGCACTAAAGTAGAATTCAATTATAGAAAACCTATAATTGTTTAGATCTCTTGGGACGATCCCTGCTCACTTCATACTCCATAGTATAAGTGTTTAGTGGTTTTATAAATTTTAAAATATGGTGCCCACTTGACATTATTTCAAAACCTTAAGTGTTGTGCATTATTTTGGGCACACGCTTGGTCGCACCAGATTACAACACGTTTTCGCGGACGGGAGTGGCTTCTTCTACTTCAAATTTGCTTATGAGAATGCTTTGTCAACCATCCTTGCTTCGGGGCCACACTTTATTGCTAAGAAACCTATGCAGCTTCAGATATGGCACCCCAACCTGTCAAAGGAAAAGCAACCCAGTCATCTCACACATGTTTGGGTCAAATTCTTCAATATTCCAATACATAGGTGGACGGCCAAAGGACTAAGCCATATTGCAAGTGCAATTGGCCGCCCAATGCATGCTGATTATGCCACTGAGAATAGGGAAAAACTGAGGAATGCAAGGATTTGTGTAAAGATTGATTTGAACTTACCACTGCTCAAGTCATTTCCTCTAAAGAATGGTGATGGAAGTACGAATGAGATCCGTGTTGAATACCAAGGTATCCCCAAATTCTGCTCCTCCTGCGGTTGGTTGGGCACCCCTCATCTATTTGCCCACTGAAAGAACATTCCACAGCTCGCAGTCATACCTCTCAGCCCCAATCTGAATGGAATGTCGTCTCTTCAAGGCAAAAAAGGTCACCTCTCAACAACCCACAACATCCAAGATCAAACGATGAACATGACACTGCTCACATTGCATCCACCCTCTGCCTTAATGCGCAACCTGATCTAGTGTCCCCTATTCTCAATCCCACACAAACTGCAGAACTTCAATGTGATCCGGATCATGGTACCTCACCTTCCCCATCAGTTAAGGCACATACCAGCTCGCCTTCAAAGATCCTTTCTCTCATCCATGCTAAAAAGTTAGTAAGAGTAATCCCTGATAATAGGCTCCAAAGCTGTGATCCTCAATGCTCAGACACTGCACAAATATCTCCACAATTGGAGCTGCTCAACAAGTTTTATCCACTTGCTCAGAATGATGCTGCTCAGAGGACTGATATTCCCTCCCATGATGAATCCGATCAGCTTTCCTCATCCTCCTCTCTTAGCATAACCAGTTCAAGTATTTCTAAAGGAAGAAAGTCTACAGTCAAGAAGAAGAAAGTCATTAATGGGTTGCATTTGCATGTCTTTCCTTTCAAAGGGATAAGGCATCTGAAAGGAACTACCAAGTCCCTTTTTAATGATTAAACTAGCTGCATGGAACATAAGAGGCTGGAATAGCCTCTCTAAGCAACTCGAGCTGCATGAAATTATCAAATGTCATAAATTAGATTTGTTGGCTATACTTGAAACAAGAGTTGCACATGATAATTTGGCTCCCATCCACAAGGCTATTGCCCCTAAATGGTCCATTATTCACAACTACGATCACTCTTCCCTCAGTAAAATTTGGATTTTGTGGAACCCAAATAATATTAAAATCTCAGTGGTGCTTTGTTCCAGACAAATCATCCACTGCTCTGTTTAACTCCCTAATAATCAGCACTGCTTCATCTCTTTTGTGTATGGTGCTAATACCTACATTGAAAGGAGGGAGTTACCGGCTTCCATCACTCACCATGCTACCCTATTTTATGATACACCCTGGCTAGTCCTTAGAGATGTCAACGTCATCATTAACTGCCATAAGAATTTTGGGGGTTCTCTTAAAAGGTCTTATGCTAGTGCTAAATTCAATAATTATGTAATGGATTCTAAGTTGGAAAACCTGAGATACACAGGCATTCACTTCACTTGGAATAATCAGAGTGTATGACATGCCAATATAGCTAAGAAACTGGATCGAGCTCTAGTAAATGAAGAATAGTCCAAGGTTTTTCCTATGTCTGATTGCACATTTCTCCCTCTCAGTCTATCTGACCACAGTCCAATCCTTGTTAAGCTCGGCCCTCCTGGTCCAAAGAAGAAACTACCCTTCAGGTACTTTAACTCTTGGGCCTCCAGCCCTCATTTCATGCCTGCTGTAGAGTAGGTATGGGCATCTAGTGTTAGTGGTACACCAATGTTTCGGGTGATGCAGAAATTGAAGACACTCAAAGGGGTCCTTAGGGAAAATTGTGGGGTAGAGATTTCACAGGCATCTATCCTGGTTAACCAAGCCAGACAAGCCTTGGCTTCCTGTCAGCTGCAGCTGGATATTAATCCTATGGATGTGAATCTTGAGCTTCTTGAAAAGGAATTATCACAACAGCCCACTGGCCTTTCCCTAGCAGATGAACTCTCTATCAAACAGAAATCAAGAATCAGGTGGCTAAAGGATGGGGATAGCAACACAGCATTCTTCTTTAAGGTCTTTAACTCTAAGGTCAACAGAAGGAAAATCACCAGCTTGACATTAGCCAATGGTAATTCCATTGACCAGGTATACCTTATCAATTCAGAGATAGTTGATCACTTTCAGTCCTTGTTGGGCTCTTCCCCTCCCCTATACCCTGGGATCTCACACTTACGCCCTTTAATCACAAAATCTATCCGAGTGCACTTCCACCCCATGCTTGTCTCTATCCCAACCGAGGAGGAAATCCAATCATGCTTCCTTGCACTGAATAATGAGAAATCACCAGGGCCGGATGAGTATAATGCACACTTCTACCAAGTGGCATGGCCTATTGTGGGTAATGATATTACTAATAGCATTCGATTCTTCTTCCTAAATGGGAGGATGCTAAAGGAAATCAACAACTTCTATATTGCCTTAGTCCCTAAAATACCCAATCCATCATCTCTTAATGATTTTTGCCCTATTTCATGTTGCAACACAATTTACAAATGCATTGCTAAGCTTATTGCAAATAGGCTTAAGCAAGTCCTACCTTCAATAATTGATCCATGACAAAATGCCTTTGTTAAGGGACGACACATTGGGGACTGTATTCTTTTGGCTCAAGAGCTTTTTCAGGGTTATCACATAAATCTTACTCCCCCTAGGTGTGCTATTAAAGTGGACCTAAAGAAGGCCTTCGACTCTATTGGTTGGGATTTGATCCTTGACTCACTAGTACTCTTTGGATTCCAAGCAATTTTTATGGAATGGGTAAGAACTTGTATTACTACTCCATCATTCACCATCTCTGTAAATGGGGAGTTTCAAGGACACTTTTGTGGGCCTAAAGGGCTGAGATAGGGGGATCCAATCTCGCCCCTCTTATTTGTCATTATTATGGAAGTATTCACATCTATCACAAAGAGGCACATCACTGACAACCCTTGCTTCAAATTCCACTCCAGATGCAGATCTCTGGCCATATCCCATCTTATTTTTGCAGACGACCTACTACACTTATCCTATGGTGACTTGGCTTCTATCACCACTCTCAAGAATGCCATTGATCACTTTACTACTCTCTCGGGACTTTCCATCAATAATCACAAGAGTTGTTTTTTTGTCTCTGGTGTAACCGATGATCTTATTAATGATATCCAATGCCTTCTTGGATTTGATCATGGTGAACTACCATTTAAGTATCTTGGTGTCCCCCTTATTTTTACAACATTAAAGGCAGCTGATTGCAGAGGGCTGGTTGAGAAAGTTACTAGACGAATTTGCCACTGGTCGTCTACTTTCCTATCCTACGCGGGGAGAATTCAGCTGATTCAGTCCGTACTTTATAGCATGGTCAACTATTGGATAAGCCTCTTCATTTTGCCTAGGTCAGTTCTAGAAGAGATTAATGGACTGCTAAGGAATTTCCTATGGTCAGGGACAGAGCTTAAGTATACAGGCGCAAAACTTACCTGGCCTGCTGTTGCATGCCCAAAAGTTATGGCTGGCTAGGTTTCAGGAGCTTGGAAATTGCCAACACGGCAGCATGCCTAAAGCTTATTTGGAATGTTGTCTCCTTACATAAGGAAAACATCTAGGTCAATTGGGTAAGGGTTCAGCTTATTCGGAATAAGTGCTTCTGGACCATGAATATTCCTCAGGCGTCTTCTAGTAATTGGAAGAAACTTATGCAACTAAGGGGTGTGGCTAGGTCAATGATCAGAACAAGGGTTGGATGCGATTCACAAACCTTCTTTTGGGATAACAATTGGCTCCAAGGTGGGCCTCTTACCTTCAGAGCAACTCCGGGTTTCATTCGTGACTCACACATACCAGCTGAACAAAGGCTCTTTGCATTCTCTTCAAACAACAATTGGGAATTCCCAATTGAAATCACTCAGCAGTTCCCGGACCTCCTACTCCTCGATCCCCCTTGCAACACACCTGATAAAGTAGAGTGGATTCCCTCACCAACTGGTATTTTCTCACTTACCAATACAGTGGCTTGGCTAGCACCTCGCCATCAACCGCGACCATGGAATCACTTGGTATGGAACTCCTTCTCCATCCCGCGATGCAAATTTAGCTTTTGGCTCGCTGTGCAGAGGCGGCTTCCTACAAAGGATAGAAGATGTATGCAGTCCTTTCCTGGATCTAAACTCTGTCTCCTCTGCCAATCAGTAGACGAATTGCATGACCACCTGTTCTTTTCGTGTTCCTTCACAAGACCTATTTGGAGCTTCTTGCAACTGAAATGTAGATTTCGCGCATCCAATCTCTCTTGGGAGGAATTTGTCAATTGGGCATCCAACCATTGGAGAGGTCGGACCTTGCAAAACTCAGTCAAAAAATTGGTTATCTCTACCATCGTCAATCGGATATGGACTAAGCGTAATGAACGGATCTTCCGGCAAAAACGTTGCTCCCAATCGAGGATCTTGAAACAAACAATGGAGATGGTGAAACAGCGGCTGCAATCTATGAGGGTTAAGGATTCAATCACAGCAAGGAGACTTGTGCTCGAATGGGATCTTCCCCAGAGTTTCATTAGGCCACCACCAGAACCTGATTGAACGATTAGAGGCTCTGCCTCTTTCTCTTCTCTGTACACCGGGTGTTACGTTGGGAGGGATAAGATTAGTCTAGGGTTTCTTAGACTAAGATTATCTTTTGTCAACTGTAGGATGGGCTTGGTCTGCCTTCTGAATTATGGGATGGACTCTATGATGAGTCCTTTGTTTGTATTGCCTTTTTGGGCTGTCTTGCATGCTTCAAGCAATACAACTTAATTTTCGAAAAATAAAATAAAATAAAATAAAATAAAAGTCTGATTGCAATAATGACTTTGGAATCGCTAGCAGTTGAGAAAGACTAATTTTAAGGTTTTTTTTTTCCTGTTCTTCGCCCCTCTATTCATTTTTGCTCTCCTTTTTTTGTCTTGGAAAATAGAAGGCTTGAGAAACTAGACATGGACACGCACCCTTTACTAGGAAAGTAGCTTTAAGTTTTCCTTTTCTTTTTCCTTTTTCTTTTATCTTTATTTATTTTTTATTATTATTTTTATTTTGTTATCAAAAGAAATGAATTTTTTTTTTTTTTCCTTAGTTGGTCGGTTGCACAGTCAGTTTATCCATGTGCATGTTTAGCATGTGTTGAGTAATTTCATTCGGACTATGTAATACACATAACTAGTTCCTTAGGTGATTTTTAAATTTGATAGATATTTTGTGTTGAAATTTAAAATAAATATATTAAAATAAGTTTTAATTGTGTTAAAATAACTTTTAGTTTTAACACAAGTAGGCTACGGAAAAAAATTCTCTCCTATTATTCTCTCACTGACAATGTCAAGTGAGCATCTAACGGTAGTGATTAACGTTACTTTCCCAACATAACCTTGTCAGCGTTAAGTCAGCAAGTTAAGAAATTTACTTTTATTTCACCAAGTCAGTTTTTTTACCCCTCAGTAGACCAATCTAGTGAGAAAGTAACTGAAGAAGAATTTTTTTCAAGAAGGTTGGGCTTTTAAACTCATAATTTATCGACATCATAGTTTTTTTTAGTACTAAGATGTGTAAAATTATTATTTTCTTTTTAAGAAAAAAAATAGTCCGTAGCTGAAATGTCATGCACAAATGACATGGGGGAATGTAGTTTTTTTTTTTTTTTTTTTTGGCAAGTAAATGTGGAGGAACGGAGTTGCTAAGCAATAATCTATGAAGTACGGATACTTTTACGAAGGAGTCATACTAGTATCGTGTTCGTGTCGGACACCGACACTCATCGGACACGTGTTCGATACTCACTTTCAGACATTTCACCTACACTTCTTGGACATTTAATCTGATACTTTCAAACATTTCTAACACAAGCCTACCATATTATCCAAAAAATAATATGAACACATTCTAAAGTGTTCAACTTTTTTCTTTAAAAATAAAAAAAAAAAAAAAAAAATGATATTATACACATATGATCAAAAGCAAAACATTAAACATTAAATGATCTTTGTTAATTTAGAATAAAAACACTATTATGACAAATACATATGATATAAATGTTATTACAAAAATTAGAAATAAATTAAAATTTTATACTACTATTACTTAATACATGTATATAAATAAAAATTCATATTCACTACAAGAAATTAGGTTATTAGGGACAGTCTTTTAGTGACGCACTAAAACCTGTCCCTAAAGATCTTATTATTAGGGACGGGTAAATTTTACCGTCCATAATACCAGCCTTTAGGGACAGTTAATCTAATAATTATATATAATCGTGTCAAAGTCGTATTTGTGTCCTGCTTTTTAAAAATTTAACGTGTCGACGTGTTCGTATATCCGTGTCCATACTACACTGGTGATATCTCACCTTTTTTTTTTCCTTTTTCTTTTTTATTTATTTTTTATTTTTAAAGGAGCAATATCACACTTACTGAGTTGGAAGAGATATAATCACAAACTCATTTCTGTGGGCATGATTTAAAACACATGTGCCTAATCGCAATCCACAAACTTTTGCTTATTAATTTTCTTTTTCAGGCGTTTCACATCAACAGATTGTTACTCTGTAACTACGTTCCTACACACGGTGAAAAAGAGTCACGGACCAATATCTCACGTTTTTTCCACCCTTTGACATCGAATACCATCTCAAGAAATAAAGCTGAATTGTCAGAAATGACATGGTGGAAAGGAATCATTGTACTATCTCGGAGAGTCACAAACTCATTTTTGGTCGCTATGTCCTAAAACATGTACGCCCAATGGCCAGCCACACATTTTTATATTTGTGGCACCATCTATTGCTGTTTTAATAGATTGGCATTAAAAAGATTTTAAAAAATTAAATTTTAAAAAGGACGTGACATAAGGAGTACAATGACAAAAAAAAAAATAATTCACTTCCACATAACCCATTCTTTTAGGAGAAAAGTTATTGCCCTTTCAATTAGTTGTTCTAGGATGTAATTAACCTGCAGTGTCCGAACTCTATGTGCCACTGGTTAATTTTGTTATAAATTAAGCTATAAAATTTTTTTTTTTTTTTTTTTTTTTTTTTTTTTTTGTCCCTCGGAAAAGTAATGCTCCAAGCTACAGAGACCTTGAATTATGAAAGGCCACCCATTAACTGAGAGTACTGAGAATGGTGACATAGAAACAGACCTGACATAGCTTTTGACATAGAAAATGACCTAATCATGTTTCAAGAAAGTTTTACGTAAAAACATAATGCCTTGTCATACTTTAATGCTTTTCATGAGGCAAGTAAAACTCTGGTCTTTAATATAATGCCTTCACTGACTTGAGATTCTATTCCTTATCAGTAGTCTAAACCTACTACTCTATTGATATAGGGTTAGTGGTCAGGCCAATTGGGACTGGAATGATGGTGTCGGAAAGAAGTTATGGAAAAATATCTGTTTATTGTGAGTTTTCTATATTGGCATTCTCGTAGACTTGTTTGCATCATGGGTACTTAATTTTGGAAGTAGTGGATGGTGGTGATTATATTTTCTGAAAATTAGAGAGATTGCAATACCAGTGCTTGTGCATGCCTCATAGGGTTATAGGCTACTATATATGATTGAAAGGGAGGAGAAAAAGAAGTAAAAGCTGAAATAAAGAGCCACATAATTAGCAGATAACTGCAGAATCGACATATTTGGTTACAGATTTATGGTTATATATGACTTCTGTTATAAATTCAATATAAGAAAAAAAAACTCAAAGCATGAAAGTACGTAGTTTGGAATGGTCCACAACTTTTGCTCATCTGTGCTAAAGATTGCTAAACTATTTTGGCCCATTCTCAATCTTAGGCTAAGTTTTGATAACAAACCTTTCACTAGAATTAACTACCTCCTCGATCTGTGGGGGAGGTAAGAGTTCAAACCACTCGAGCCAAGTCTTTAATTGCATGTCAAATAATAAGCATACATATAACTTGTATATACATACTACTACTAGTTTTCTAAAATACAAGTTATATTATTTGAATCTATATTAAAATTTTCAGATAACTTGAACGTTGTTTTTAGACTTGGAATTTTTCAGCAAAGAACCTTAACCAATATTCAATTAGATGCAATTTTATGTCTATAGAGTCCTTCTTACCTTTGACTATTGTGACTGAACAACATTCTGTGCAGATATTCTGAAGTAAGTTCAAAAGGTCAGTCATAAACAACAAAGCGTAAAATTGGAATGGAATTTGCCAAACACACATATTATTCTCACACCCTTTGAAGAGGGGAGCTCATACCACCTGAGCAAGAGGCCGGTCCGGTGGTAGCTTATTACATTACAAAAAAAAAAAAAAAAAAAAAAAGTTACATTCATAAACTGAAGAAGTACATTAATCAATAGAGGTAAACACCAACCCAGATATTTGCTAGATCAAAGTAATTAATATTCATACAAGTAAATCAAATTCCATGCAAACGCTAGCAGCAAATCCACCGGATCATACGGGTATGGGGTCAATGAACATTGAGATGACATGATCTTTCCATACTTTATCGGGATGAGTGAATCCATCAGTTTTCTTGTAAAAGGTATCCATTAATCTTGAAAGGTTGACAATTCTCCTTAGGAGATGCATGGAGATGGAGTTTGGCGTGAGGATTTCCTCATTTATATCCCTCCATGCATTTTCAACCCTACTATTGAACACATCAACTACCTTTTCCTTTGACATCATGCCCGGATGCTGCCTCATGTAGCATAAAATTCCTGTAGCAACACGTCCGTTCTCTAGATCTTCCTACGAACATTAAAGATTTATAACTGTTGAGATGTTTACATTATAAAATCTATATTATATGAATGTATTTATCGTATATCGATCTATACCTCGTAATCTACTACGTCATCCATGAGCCTAGCAATTGTGTTTGCAGCAACAAGAATTTTAGGCTTATCTTTTAACCAACCAAATACCTCAGTGGTAGCAATTGCTCCCATGCCCATAAAGGATGATGCTGTGAGCACATAATAACCAGCACTATCTAGCCCGTTGCCTATGTACTCATCAAAAAATGGCACATATCCTTTTCTGAACCACTTAGCCTCTATGTAGTAACTCCTTGCAAGTTCTTTAAACTGGTAATGTGTAAGACAAAATAAATTCATGTTATTATACATTGGAGTTTTAATTAAGGTGGAAATAATAATAATCCTTCTTAATCATGGCGGAATTAATAAAGAGAAGAGAAATCACCAAAAGAGGGGTAAAGGACTTTGGTAAGCCATACAACATTTTTTTCCACCAAGAAACAAAAGTGAGTGAGTGTGTGTGTGTGTTTTTTTTTCTAGTTGGGACTCACACACACTACCTCCATTGAGGTTCGAACCCCTGACTTTTTTTGAGAAGTAGGAGCCTTGAACCGCTAGGCTACAGGCCTGTTGGTGAGTGTATGATTTACTTGCCATAATAATAATTTTTTGAAAGAAAAAATAAATAAGCCATACCGCAATTTTTGAGCTATCAATGCTATAGGATCTTCCTTGCATGGTCATTTCCTTGTCCAATTCTTCATAGAGATTTAGGAGAGCTCTATAAAATATCTTCATATAATCTGGGAGCTGATCGATGGCACTCATATCCCACCTAAAAGTTAACAACGTCATTTTCATATTTATTCAATTGAAAATAAAACATAATCATCCACCATGCATGAATCTCTTTTCTTCTAGAATACTTGCGAATACTTGCGAAAAGACTGATCTTTTATACTTTGCATGTTCAAATTTTGGAGGGTGGTCCAAAATTTCGAACTACATGTAAAGGGGAGGAGGTGGGGGAGAAAGAAAGAAAAGAAAACAAAAATTGAGAGATGCAAATTATCAACATATATATATATATATATATATATATATATAGGATTGCAAATAGTATACCTCTGTATTGCATCTGTAAAAGGTTCGAGTTCTTCAATTATACCATATGAATCATATGTGTCATCTAGTATTGTTGCCATAACAATAATTTTAGTGAGTATGATCCGTCCAAGAGAGTAATGAGGTTCAAAATACACAGTCATAGCCCAGAAATAGCACTCAACCACTCTGCTCCTCGTAAAAGGAAGTTCTGATTCAAAGTCTAGGTCTTTCCACCACCTATACACAATAGAAAAGATTAATCAGATTTACACAAAAATGGATACTCTCTCTCCCTCTCCACACACAAACACCCCATGTTACGTACCTTGAGATGTGACACAGTTCTTGCTTGTGCATCAATTGTGGCAGATTGAAGTCAAATTTCGCAAGTTTCAATAACAATTCATTCTTGTAATCGCCTTCTTCATAGACACAGATGTAATGCCTAGCCTCTAATCTTGGGACGCCTTTGTGGAGGGGTTGCTTTAAGGCATGCATCACTTGCTTTGCAAGAAAAGGGCTTAATTCTGTCACCATGGACTCAAGGTGAGTGGTTGTGAATGCAAGAGCCTCGTCTAGAATATCTTCTCCATGTATCCTCAAGTACGCAGCTTCATACAAGCTTAGCATCCCCATTACATCCCCAGTAAGTTTTTTCTTGAATTTACCATTACTGTCTTTGAATTTGTTGAAAATATCTGTTTCAAAACACACAACACCATATCGATCAGCCATCTCTATGGACAAGTTTTGTGAATTGTATACTTTTATATAAACATTTATATAAGTGATCTATGAGGGGGTTTAATTACCACAAGATATGTTATGACCATGTTGTCTGAATACTCGAAAATGAACCGCAGCTGTGAACAAATCATTGTAGTCTTCATTATTTTCAAGGTGTGCATGAGAATGAAAGATTTGTTCGAGCTGCTCTTCGATCTCTTTCTCAAAGTGATAGGAGATACCAAGGCGCTCCAGTGTGTTGATCAAACTCATTTTCTGGGCGGTTTTACTTTTTGCATTTACTAGCATACTTCTCACTTCTTCTTTCAACACGTCAATCTCTTTAGAATACGATTCATATGCCTGCATCATACAAAAATAACATAGCAACTTGATTAACTTATGCATATCTGGAGGCATTGGATATAAGTTCTCTTGAGAACAGTTACTTGTCCAAGGGATTTTCTTCAATAGTAAGAAGCTTGAGAAATTATCTAAGTATGCATGGAAACTGTTATGATCAAGACAGCATAAAATGAATGAAAATCATGCATGACATGTTTCATTGGCTTTGAAGTGAAATAAATTTGTGTCTGAAGACAAGATATGCTGTGCATATAACAGGGAACACGTAAAGTGATCAGTGAAATCTATAAAATAAAAAAATAAAAACAACAATTTTGACATGCTCATAATATCACATGAAACATCAGGTTATGCTAAAATTGTGACGTCTCGCGTTATAAAAGGGGAACTTGATAACACTTATATGGAGTAAGTGCAAAAAATATCCATATAGTTTTTAAAATGTGCAAATAACACCTCTAATGTTTAAACGTCACCCCTATAGTTTTAAAATAGTGCAAATAAGGACTTCTAATCAAGAAAATTGACATGTGACCAAAAATTAGCCTTTAATACCAAAAATAACTTTCTACGCTACCCAAAATGCCAACAGGGGGTTTTCTGCACCTTTTTTAAAATACTCATTACTTACTGTAATATTCTGTTTTGGACTTGAGGAGTTGTAGAGAGTGAAAGTAGACTTCTTCAAAATTCAGAGTTTTCTCTCATATGGTTTTTTTTTTGCAAGATTCGTTTCTTGATCCCGTCGCTCATCTAGATTGGATTTATATACATATTGATGCAGTCCTTATATGGGTCATTGTTGAGCTGATTTTTCGATTTGGGTTTGCAAGAATTTCCTTGTTCTTGCCTCTCTCTTTCTCTCTCTATCATTCTCTGTTTTACAGTAGATTTTTCTTCACCGACCTGTTGTTGATTCGTGTAGTTCTTTTTTTATTGGGTCGCTAAAATTAATCTTTACTCTCTCTCTACCCTGAAGATTTTTTTTGATTTGCTATCTTCAGTTCGTCACAAATATCACTATATAGATTTAGAGATATATATATATATATATGTATCAGCAGAATTTTTGTTATCGTGTTTAATTGATTCTACAATGAGGAATAATTTAGAAAATCAGTGTCAATCGATCAAGCAAGACGATGAGAAATTGCCGGTGCCGGAAACTCCAGTTTCCGGAGACAAAGTTCAAGATTGGGAATGTGGAAAAGGGGGTTGAAGAAGATCCGATTCGATGTCAAGGGAAGAACTCTCAGAGTAAGGTCTGCACTGTGTGCAAAAAAGAGTTTAGCTCTGGTAAAGCTCTCGGAGGTCACGTTAAAGTTCACTTTTAGGATCACGACAAAGAACAACTTCTCAAGCAGCTCAAAATCCGTAATAAAAAACCCAATAAGTTGAAGAAACAAAATCTACAATGGGCCATCTATTCTTCCAATAAGTTGATGATGTTTCCGCAGAAGACGATGTTATTGTCGATTGGGCTGATTGCGGAGTTCAGATCGATGAAGAAATAGGTATTGATCTATGGGGGTTTCTGGATTAGAGTGCAGCTGTGGACGGCGGAGTTGAGGAGGAGAGTTACTGGCGGCGAGGGGTTTCCATCGATTCCGGCGGCGAGATGCTCCATCGATTCCGGCAGCTATCTGGCATGGTGGCGAAGATTTGCAGCTATATATGTATATAACAATGGAGTAAGTTCATTAGCCAAACGAAGCAGTTTGCGGTTGTTGTGTTTCATTACCCAAAACGATATATCTATTTTGGTAATTTCAACTTTTTTAATTTTTTTTATTATTATTGAATAAAAAAATATTTGGAGATATTTTCGTATTTTTACTTACCTTGCTGACATAAAAACCCTTATTTACATTATTTTGAAATGACATGTGTAGCGTTTGAACACCAGGGTGTTATTATTTTTAAAACTATGAAATGTTTTTTTGCACTCTTAACCCCACTTATATGTATAGATGTCTTTTAAGTAGAAAGGTGGGTTCGTGACAGATGGTATTAAATCAATCAAACTATGTAATGTCTCATTTGCAAATTGTGAGAAAGAAAAGCATGCAAATTCAACAATATCACAGTGAGGTGTGTAAATATTTTTGAATGCTATATTATGGCCACCCATTGTGGTAATCTCTATCTAACATATACACTTGCAAAAAGTATATATATATATATATATATATATATATATATGTATGTATGTATGTATGTACACACACGCACACCACATAAATGTTACCTGGTTATCCATATCAAATGAACTGAAACGATCACCCCATAAACTAGGCTTGAAGTTTGCCAAAGGGCGAAGAGTTCGGGACTGCAGGCAGTTCATTGGATTACCATGAACTGCGGTGGAGGCCATTTTTAAGATGTATAGATTGTGACTAACTCTTCTTGATACCAAGAGTTAAAAGAAAGGCCAGCTATGTAATACACACTCCTATCCACATGCATATTTATAGAGAAAAATGGAGTGAAGTTAGTTTGTCTGCATTTTAGATATATTTATTAATATGCATGTTTCACAGGTGTACGTTATAAGCCTGCATTTTAGATTTATCAATATGCGTGTTTCACATGTGTACGGTATAAGTGCTTAAGCTATAAAGGGAGGTGTAATTAACTTTAATATTTAAATTCTTTAACACACCTCTTCATATGTGGCCTTCTTTTAACTTAACATATGCTTTTTTTAACTTTTAATTTGGGTGACGGTGAGATTTGAACTTAAAACCTTAGACTCTGATACCATATTAATTACCCATCTAAATTTTTAAAATTTAGAATAGATATAGTTAACAATAAGAACTTAAAACCTTAAACTCTGATACCATATTAATTACCCATCTAAATTTTTAAAATTTAGAGTAGATATAGTTAACAATAAGAACATCAGATTTACCTTTTAGGTAATTGATAATGAATAAACCTTAATTCTTTATGTTTGTTTGGATTGGGTCAGCCAACGTTTGCATCTTTAGCATGTTTAATTGTGAAAAAAATAAAAAAAAAATAAAAAATAATGTCTTTTTATTTTTATGGTTACGGTGTACCTCGTACTGATTCTTTTTGAAGTGTACCCTGTCTCACTGCTCCAGTATCAAAGTGTGATTTTTTTTATTTTTTAGCTAAACCAATTTCAAAGTTATACCACTAAATATATAGGTCACATTATTTAACATTTTGGGTTTTCTATACATCTCCTATTAGCATCATAGTTTTTTTTTTTTAGAACTAAGAGGTGTAAAATTATTATTATTATTTTTTTAAGAAAAAAATAGTCTGTAACTTACCGAAAAAAAAAAAAAAAAAAAATTGTCTGTAGCTGAAATGTCATGCACAAATGACATGGGGGAATGTAGTTTTTTTATTTTTTGGTAAATAAATGTGGAAGAACTGAGTTGCTAAGTAATTATTTATGAAATACGGATATTTTTACGAAGAAGCCATACTGGTATTGTGTTCGTGTCGGACACCAACACTTGTCGGATACTCCTCGAACACAAGTCCGACACTCACTTTCGGACATTTCGCCTACACTTCTTGGACATTTAGTCCAACACTTTCAAACATTTCTAATACAAGTCTACCCGGTAATCCTGAAAATAATATGAAAACATTCTAAAGTGTTCAACTTTTATCTTTAAAAATAAAAAAATTGATATTATACACATATGATCAAAAGCGAAACATTAAACATTAAACGATCTTTGTTAATTTAGAATAAAAACACTATTATGACAAATACATATGATATAAATGTAATTATAAAAATTTGAAATAAATTAAAGTTTTATACTACAATTACTTAATACACGTATATAAATAGAAATTCATATTTATATATAGTCGTGTCTAAGCTGTACTCGTGTCTTACTTTTTAAAAATTTAACGTGTCGACATATTCGTGTATCCGTATCCACGCTACGCTGGTGATATCTCACTTTTTTTTTTTTTTTTTTAATCCTTTTCTTCCTTTTTTATCTTTTGTTTTTTTAACGGAACACTATCTCACTTATTAGGTCGGAAGAGATATAATCACAAACTCATTTTTGTGGACATAATTTAAAACACATGTCTAATCGCAAGCCACAAATTTTTATTTATTTATTTTCTTTTCCAACCCTCTCACATCGACAAATTATCACTTAGCAATTCTGTCCCTCCACACGGTGGAAAGCAATCACTAATAGGTTTGAGAAGAGTCACAAACTCATTTCTGTACAACTAATGGCCAGCCACAATTTTTTATTTTTGTGGCACACTCTCTGTTGCTCTTTTAATAGGTCCACATTAAAAAGATTTTAAAAAAATTAAATTTTGAAAAGGACATGACGTACGGAGTACAATGACAAAAGAAATGTTAGAGAGAGACAAAATGGTTCTTTTATTGGGCCGAGTCTTGTATATAAAGGAAAACAGTACAGATAACATGAGGAAGGCTATGGAAATACAAGACTCGGCCCAATAAGAGCCAGCCCAACCCAAAAATGATAAGCCACAACAGCAACTAACCCCCAAATAACAGCCTCCAAGGGAGGAAGAAACATGACTCGAACATGTCAGGTTTTAGGGGTGTTGCTACATCCTAAAACCTGTCCGCAATTAGTTATTCTAGATGCAACCAGTGTGCAAACTCTATGTGCCACTGGTTTATTTTTTTATAAATTGAGCTATATATATATACTTTTTCTTTTCTTTTTCTTTTTTTTTTTTTTAAAGTAACGCTCCATCCTAAACCCATACCTTAGTAACTTAACCAAAAAAAAATACATCCCTAAGTATACAATGAAATAAAATTATAAAAGAAAATTTATGTGACATAGCCCATTATTTTAGAGGAAGAGAAAAAGTTGTTAGCCCTTTTAATTGTTCTAGATATAGGCCAGTATGCAAACTCTCGGTGTCACTTGGTTAATTTTTTTTTTTTTTGTTCGCCCCTTTATTCGTTTTTGCACTCCTTTTTTTTGTCTTGGAAAATAAAAGGCTTGAGAAACTAGACATGGACCCTCACCGTTTACTAGGAAAGTAGCTTTAAATTTTCCTTTTCTTTTTCCTTTTTCGTTTATCTTTATTTATTTATTATTCTTATTATTTTTTTTGTTATCAAAAGAAATGAATTTTTTTTTTCTTAGTTGGTCGGTTGCACACTCAGTATATCCATATGCATGTTTAGCATGTATTGAGAAATTTCATTCGGACTATGTAATACACATAACTAGTTCCTTAGGTGATTTTTAAATTTAATAGATATTTTATGTGTTAAAATTTAAAATTCTCTCCTGTTACTCTCTCACTGGACAATATCAAGTGAGCATGTGGTAATTCACCTCCCCATCATAGTCTTGTCAGCGCCAAGTCAACAAGTTAAGAAAAAAATTTACTTTTATTTTACCATATAAAATGATAAGAATGTTTTTGGGATTATATAATTTAAAAGTGTAAACATGACTTCGTAACAATCATTTTTTAGTAAAAAATTACTCTCCAGTTACTCTCTCACTGGACGTTGTCAAGTGAGCATCTTGGTGTCGCCCGCACAGTGTGGCCAAATTTGTGCAGAATAGTGTGGCCAAGTTTTACATTTATCAATGCCACTACTACCACTAACTAAAAAAATAGCAAAGGTGAGTAGGTATCGTCCCAAGGGATTAGAGGTGCACTAGTAATGGAAACAATGCTTAGGGTTAGTAGGTCGAGTGATCAAAGGTAGATTGTTTGGTTGATTAAACTACAATTAAGACTAACTAAGCTCAATATAAAACAAGTAATTGAAGGATAGAGAAAACAAAAGAGAGAGATCTTGGGACTTAGAGGTCACCACTAAGTATCACTTTTCTATACACTCAATTCACAATTAATGAGAGGGAAAACATATGTTGCAACAATAGTGAGTATGTGTGGTTGTTTCAACAAGTATGGATGACCAATTAAGTATATATTATCTAAACAACACAATAAATAGCACAATATATCAAACTAAGCCTTTAATTATTCCTTTAAGCTCACTATCCAAACACATCACATGATTAGAGAAATATGCTACTTACATTCATAAGTATGGAACATCAAATAATAAGTATAGATTGTCCTTCTATTTAACAACTAAGGTAACTACACTACATCTAAGCTAATGACATGAAAATTAAACTAATTAAACTAAGGGAGAGGCACAATTTATCAAGAAATAAGTATGAACCATCAAATAAACCACAAGAGCATTCTATTAAGTACTATGTCCTGACAATCTCTATATCTATAGCATCAACACACATAGACATGCATCAATAACACAAGAGTTAGAGATAAACACATGAACATCTATTCTAGCATACATAGACATAGAGATAGAATGAAATGATCAATTGGAAGAATTAAACTACACAAATCATTGAATAAACAAGATCTATGTATATAAAAATGTCAAAACATGTATTACAACACAAATCCCCTCAAAAATACATAAATCAATGTAAAGAAGGCATGTTTAGGGCTAACTCTAGCCCCAAGAGGATGTCTAGCCACTCATGGATGGTGTCCTCCAACCCTCAAGGGCTATCTCCATAGTAGAAATGCTCTTCTTCTTGAGTTAGATGGAAGATTTCCCAAGAATGTGTCTATAGGCTCCTCCTCTCTTTTCTTCCTCTCTAAGAATGATATCTAATGTTGTATCTTGGAACTCCTTGTAAAAGTGGCTCATAATCCTTATATAGGTAGCTCAGATGTCACACCCAATGGTCTAGGCTCGTACACAAGGTCTCCTCCAATGATTGCACCATGAGACAACTTTTAATGAGCTGGAAATTGATTTAATTCGCACTTGAGAGGGTTCGATCGATCGAACCTATGCTGAGATTGATCGAACTTGGTTGAGATCTATCAAACTTTGGCTGGATTGATCTTCCCATAGTGGCGCCTTTTTGGATAAAGACAAATCTGAGATATTTTGGGGAAAAAGACAAAAGTGGTAGGTGAGGTGGTATAACAGGATAAGATGGAATCTTTTCGATCGATCTGAGAAATGTTGGATCGATCAAACTTTGTGGGATCTTTGGATAAGGACAAAAGAGCTTGAATCCATCTTGGAGAGTTTAAATCGATGAACTTTCAATCGATCGAAGTATTCTTGAGATCGATCGAAATATTCTTGAGATCGATCAAACATGCTGAATTTCCACACTTTGCTTCAATATGCTTCCACGTTGCTCCTTTCTTCCATCCAGCTGGAGTTAACTTCTTTTAAGCTCTCATTTGGCTGAATTAACTTATTTTGGGGATAAGCACCTAGAAAGGACAATAACACGAAATTAGTCTAAAATGGGAAAGTAAGATAGATAAAGGTCCTAGAATACCAAAGCTTAAGAGGTTTAAATGCGCACTTTTCAGCACTCATCACACCCCCAAACTTAAATATTGCTAATCCCTAGTAATGAACTACTAAGTAAAGGAAAGAAATGAACAACTAATCAACTATGAATTAGAAA